TTGATTGGGTGTTTTTCCTACATTTTTCTCATGTTGAATAAGCTGTAGTCAACAAATAAAATGTTTCTACATTATTCTATTTAGAGGTATTATTATCAAGATAAATTCTGTGATGTTGAATAGTTTTAAGCTGTAATTAAAATCCTTCCCACACATTTCATATATACTATGGATTATCACCAGTACAAATTTTGATGTTGAATAAGTTGTGAGCCATAATTAAAGGTCTTCCCACATTCCCTATATTCATAAGGTTTCTCACCAGTATGAATTCTATGATGACTAATAAGTTGTGAACTCTGAGAATAAGCTTTCCCACATATCTTACATTCATAGGGCTTCTCACCAGTATGAATTCTCTGGTGTCGAGTAAGGTCTGAACCAGAACGAAAAGCCTTTTCACATTCCTTACATTCGTAGGGTTTCTCACCTGTATGGATTCTCTGATGTTTAATAAGTTGTGAGCTCTGACTAAAGGCATTGCCACATTCCTTACATTCATAGGGTTTCTCCCCTGTGTGAATTCTCTGATGTTGAGTAAAGTTTGAGCCACTACTAAAGGCCTTCCCACATTCTTTACATTCATAAGGCTTCTCACCAGTGTGAATTCTCTGATGTCGAGTGAAGTTTGAGCCACTACTAAAGGCCTTCCCACATTCCTTACATTCATAGGGCTTCTCACCAGTGTGAATTCTTTGATGTCGAGTGAGGTCTGAGCCACAAATAAAGGTTTTTCCACATTCCTTACATTCAAAGGGTTTCTTGCCAGTATGAATTTTCTGATGATGACTGAGTCTGGAAGGATGTCTAAAGGTTTTTCCACATTCCTTACATTCATGGGGTTTCTCAATGGTATGAATTATCTGATGTGTAGTAAGCTGTGAGTCGTGTCTAAAGGGTTTTCTATATTCCTTAGTTGCACAGTACTTCTCTTTATTATGAAGGATTTGCTGTAATGTAAAGGATGGATGCTGACCAAAAGTGGGTATGTCTTCATGGGTGTATGTTGGTTGACTAAAACGTCCCTCCTCAGAGTCATGTTGTTTCTCAAACTGGCCATTACATTTCCAATCATCCCTGAAACTAGAGCACTGAAGGTGGTCACGTCTTGTAAGTCTTCCCATTATCTCCCACTGGGCTGAATCTATTTCATAAATTTCCTTCTTCAAACACAGTTTCTTGGTCTCACATCTTGATCCCAGGACTGAAAGAAAATATGAAAGCAATCACTCACATTTTCCTTGTTTGGGAGAAATAAAACTTCAATTAAAATGGGAGAATTAAACTGAGTTTTTTAAAAAATGGACTAGAAGAGTGAAGAGACATCACATAGTAAGATGAGGGCAGTAAGGAAGCCATTGGTTTCCACACACTGTTAGAGATCAGAATTACTTAGGGGAGCTTGCTAAATATAGATGCCTCAGTCTTATCTCCTTTGTTATAAAAGGAATCTAATCTCTCTCCCCACCACTCCCTCCCATCCCCCCACCCCCACCCATATAAAAGCATGCCACAGTGTGAACTATGAAGAGAAATGATCATACTTAACAGAGTTGTCAGGGTTAAATGAAATATATCAAAGGGAAAATTCAAAGGGGTTGGCAAATGATGGCCTGGAGCACTGCAATAATTTTTATAAGTTTTATTGGGACACAGCCACACTTATTCACTTACGTATTACCTATGGCTGCTTTTGAGCTACAATGGCAGACTGAGTAGTTGCCACAGAGATCACATTGACTACAAGCCTGAAGTATTTATAATCTGACCTTTTAAGAAAAAGTTTCCCAGCCCCTGGTTAGATCTGTGTTGTCCACTTCAGTAGCCACTAGCATATGTATCTATTTAAATTTAACATAATTAAAATTAAATAAAAATTCAAATTCAGTTGGCATTATTCACATTTCCCGTGTTCAACAGCCAAATGTGGCTAGTGGCTACCATACTGGAAATACAGGGCAA